CCTCTAGGCTCGCTCTTTTAGCTCCTCTAGGCTCGCTCTTTTAGCTCCTCTCATCTCGCTCTTTTAGCTCCTCTCATCTCGCTCTTTTAGCTCCTCTCATCTCGCTCTTTAGCTCGTCTCGGCTCGCTCTTTAGCTCCTCTTGGCTTGCTCTTTAGCTCCTCTCGTCTCAATCTTTAAGCTCCTCTCGGCTCGCTCTTTAGCTCCTCTCGGCTTGCTCTTTAGGCTCCTCTCGGCTCGCTCTTTAGCTCGTCTCAGCTCGCTCTTTAGCTCCTCTTGGCTTGCTCTTTATAGCTCCTCTCGTCTCAATCTTTAAGCTCCTCTCGGCTCGCTCTTTAGCTCCTCTAGGCTCGCTCTTTTAGCTCCTCTCATCTCGCTCTTTTAGCTCCTCTCGGCTCGCTCTTTAGCTCCTCTCGGCTCGCTCTTTAAGCGCCTCTCGGCTCACTCTTTTAGCTCCTCTCGGCTCACTCTTTAAGCTCCTCTCGGCTCACTCTTTAAGCTCCTCTCGGCTTGCTCTTTAGCTCCTCTCGTCTCAATCTTTAAGCTCCTCTCGGCTCGCTCTTTAGCTCCTCTCAGCTCGCTCTTTAGCTCCTCTCGGCTCGCTCTTTAGCTCCTCTCGTCTCAATCTTTAAGCTCCTCTCGGCTCGCTCTTTAGCTCCTCTCGGCTCGCTCTTTAGCTCCTCTCGGCTCGCTCTTTAGCTCCTCTCGGCTCGCTCTTTAGCTCCTCTCGTTTCAATCTTTAAGCTCCTCTCGGCTCGCTCTTTAAGCTCCTCTCGTTTCAATCTTTAAGCTCCTCTCGGCTCGCTCTTTAAGCTCCTCTCGTCTCAATCTTTAAGCTCCTCTCGGCTCGCTCTTTTAGCTCCTCTAGGCTCGCTCTTTTAGCTCCTCTAGGCTCGCTCTTTTAGCTCCTCTAGGCTCGCTCTTTAGCTCCTCTCAGCTTGCTCTTTTATCTTTACTGAAATAAAAGTTGAATGTTTGTGAAATAAACCATCTGGTTCTGATCAGACCGGGTCCAGCAGGTTTACCTCTCCTGTCCGGCTGTGTCCCACAGCTGAAGGTGAACCTTGAAGGTTTTTCCTGTCGCCGTCCCGTTGGGGTTCGACGCCGTGTAGACCTGCCAAGAAAATATAAATAAAACAGTCATTAAAAGACGAATTGAGACAAATCTCAGCTACTACCACACCGAAGTTCAGCTCAGTAGCTTAGTTGTAGCTGTTTTTGTGTTTCTGGGACTCCTTCAGTAGTACGAGTTAAAATCTCTCCAATGTGTTTTGAAGATATTTTGCTAACACCGGGCTTTATGGCTCCTGATGGTTAAAACCCTCTCAGGTCAACAGGTTTGTGAGAATCTGGTCCTGAGATGTTTGTCAGCAGAGGTCAGGAGGAGGAAATAATTTCTTCTTCTGCTCCTCCGGAGGCTCGGCGCTCGCGGCGTTCTGTAATCGTGACGGAGACAGATCCTGACACGCCGACAGACCGGATCATTAAACCCATCTCAGCTCTGAGAGGAGACGCATCAGGAGGTGTTTATGGAAACACAGCGAAGACGGATCAGAACCGTTGGTTTTATTTTGAAAGAATCATTTGGTTTAATGCATCTGACCAAACACCTCCCTGTGAGGAGGTAAACAAGGACCCTGATTATGGAGATAAATTACTCTCAAAAAATTAATCAGCAGAGGAAAACTATAAATATGTTTACATTACTTTTTGTTGAAGAAAAGTTAATTAATTTCAGTAATTTTCTTCAAATTTCCAGTCCACACAAAAAATAAAAAATAAATACAGGAAATTATATTCCGTTGGTAGTTTTTCGACAAGAAAAAAAATGTATTTTGTGGACAAAAAAGCTGAAATAATTATTTTTAAATGGGTAGCTTTGTCTTTTTGTGGTAATATACTTGTATATTTATTTGTTCTGATTTTCGGTTGTTTCAGCCATACAGATCACAAACATTTATGGATCCCAGTAATCATTGGAGGGAACAGTCCCTCTACTAYGCTAAATTCGCTAATCTGCTAATAGCGGGACTAGCTTATCTGTCTCAAAAAGATTCACAAACTTGTGAAAAAAGACTGAAAACTTTAAACGGAGCTGATTTTTCGGGGAACTCACCACGCGCTTTTCCCTGAAGTCGATGCCGACGGTGGTGATGAACTTGGGGTTGAACTTGTTGTCCGTGTAGCGGTACAGGAAGGTGGTCTTCCCCACGCCGGAGTCCCCCAGGGCCAGGAGCTTTATAAGGTAGTCATAATCCCCATCAGTCATAGTGAGGACCGCTGGAAAACCTGCAGGAGCATCACACAGTCTGTGAGAAACCTGGAGGTTCTGACCCGAACATGGAGTGACTCAGAGTGGAAGAAACATTCATTCATCAAAGTCCAGAGTTCAGGACTGAAACCCAGAACCTGACTGAGAGCCAGAGACCAGCTGAAGATACCTTTATTCCTCTTTTAGTTCAAACACGTCGCTCCAAGTCACTAAATCCAGGTCAGGTTTTCATGAACAGAATATAATCTGTGGGTATTTAAAACGTGTTAAACCCAGTGGTGGGCAAAGCTAAACAAAACTCAATCTGCTAACAAAAATTTAGCTTCGCTAAAGCTAATCAAGTAAAAAGTAGCTGAAGTTAACGCTAACAGATAAAGTAAAAACTTAGTGGAAGCTAACCTTACACAGAGAATCACGTAAAAAAGGCAGCAGAAGCTAATGCTAAACAGCTAATGAATTATGCTAAACAGCTAATGAATTAAAAAGCAGCGGAAGCTAATGCTACACAGCTAGTTAAGTAAAAAGCAGAAGAAGCTAATGCCAAACAGCTAATGAATTAAAAAGCAGCAGAAGATAATGCCAAACAGCTAATCAATTAAAAAGCAGCAGAAGCTAACGCTAAACAGCTAATGAATTAAAAAGCAGCAGACGCTAATGCTAAACAGCTAATCAATTAAAAAGCAGCAGAGGCTAATGCTAAACAGCTAATCAATTAAAAACCAGCAGGTGCTAATGCTAAACAGCTAATCAATTAAAAAGTAGCAGACGCTAATGCTAAACAGCTAATCAATTAAAAGCAGCAGAAGCTAATGCTACACAGCTAGTTAAGTAAAAAGCAGCAGAAGCTAATGCCAAACAGCTAATGAATTAAAAAGCAGCAGAAGCTAATGCCAAACAGCTAATCAATTAAAAAGCAGCAGAAGCTAATGCCAAACAGCTAATCAATTAAAAAG